TATCGTCTCATCGCAGACTCCCACATTGGACACGGCGACGTCAACCTGACGGCCCTGCACGACTACTTATGTCGTATATCGAGGACGCCTAGAGCGCTCGATCCATCTCGACACCAGAACATGTCCTCTCGGCCCTTTAGGTCAAAGCACCTACTGAGGAGCCCTCAACATATGCGTAAGCTATGAAGTCACCAGCCAAAGCGCATTGGCACGAAGCCATGCTGTTCGAATTGGCTTCATATGAGGCGAACATGTCGTTCGAGAGCGCAGCATTGCCTCCAGGGAAGTCAGCACTGGGCATGCGCTGGGACTTTAAGATCAAATGCGATGACTCAGCCACTGAGGCTACGCGACAGGTCGCACGCTACAAAGCGCGACTTGTCATCCAAGGACACACTCAGTCATCGCAAAGGGAATTCTGCGATTGATGCTTACTCTTGGCGCAGTCCTCGATTATGAGATCGACGCGATGTACGTCATCACAGCCTTTCTCAAGGGAGAAATCGACTGTGAAGTATACGTCAAACATCCTCCAGGATTTGGCACCGCCAAACATCCTCGCGACTTACTTCGAGTACTTCGAAGCGTCTACGGCTGAAACAGGCACCACACTTGTAGTTCTAGACACTGGCTAACTACTTGCGCGAGCAAGGGTACACCCAAATTGTCAAAGTCAGATGTGTATTCACAAAGGTCATGGACGGACGATCCGTTTACATCAGCGTCTATGTGGACGACCTCGTCATCATGGCTCCCACGAAGGACATGATGACAGCAATCAAACATGGCCTGTGGACGCGTTTCAAAATGCACGACCTTGGCCCACTCAAGTTCATTCTTTGGTTCCACATCGTTCGAGACCGTTTGCAACGAACTCCCACGATGCACCAATCCCAATATGCGACCTCTATTCTCAAGAGGTTCAGCATGGAGAACTCCAAACCTTCACCCACTCCCATGGAGATGTACCTCAAACTCTCTGAGTCGATGTGTCCTCAGGACGAAACTGAGCCGACCTACATGGTGGGCAAGCCGTTCCGATCTGTCGTCGGGAGCATCATGTATCTCATGATTAGCACCCAACCAGATTTGGCTTACGTCGTCCAGTAGCTCAGTCAGTTCTTAACGAACCTTGGCCTAGCCCATTGGCAGGCAGCCAAGCGAGCATTCGATATATTCGAGGCACGATCGACTACGGTCTCGTCTTGGGTGGTGAACACAATGTCACCACTCCACTGCAAGCATTTGCTGACAGTGACAACGCCAATTGCGTTGACACTCGTGCTGCGTCGCCGGCGTTGTGACATTCTACTGTAACTCTGCGGTCTCATGGATCGCTAAGAGACTACGTAGCATAGTTCTCTCGACCACTGAGGCAGAACTTATGATTATGTGTACAGTAGCACAAGAATGCTTGTACATCAAGCAGACAGCAGGTGAGATGGGTCATCCCATCACCTCGGCTATTACCCTCCATGAGGACAATCAAAGTACCATCCAGATAGTGAACAACTCTGGTCACCATGGGAGCACCAAACATATTTATGTGCGCTACCATATCATCAACGACCTCATCGAACAACAAGTGTTTCGACTCGAGTACACAGATACACGACTCCAAGGCGCGGATATCTTCACCAAACCATTAGACATTACAACGTTCTGTGTACTGCGCAGTAAACTAAGAGTGGAGAAGCTGCAGCCCTCCGACCCTTTTGGCCACGCCAAGGAGCATAAACTCCGGCCTCTCATCCCGTAACCAGTCCCGTCATGTACGGAGGACGCTTCAACCGTGACAGGTCAGACAACGGGGGGTGACGGCATCCTGGTGGTTACTCGATCCATCCTGTCTCTTCCCCGGCATGTCGTGCGGAAGGACCAATTGGTAGCGACCTACTAAGAGGGATGTCCGACGAGTTTAGTCCCGGACATAAGATGGTGTAACCATAGGTGGTTACGCTCACTGAGACTAACCACCAGCCTCTTGCTTCACTATGGGCACCTTATTCCGGTGACAGTGTGTGGAGTTGTTGGGAGACAGTCAGAACACCCTGCTCTATCATGAACATCACCACTGCCCTGAAGCCTCAGGTAGCAGCATTGGCTGCAGCTAGCAGGAGGTTTTTGTGCCTTTTAGGGGCATTTCCTCACATAGTAGATAGCCAGCCATATACACGGTACATCATTAGGATTCCGTGTCCTGATTGGCTAACCATTAGCTAGTCTGTCGAGCCTTTAGAGCCAGTTGTTTTCACTGGTAGCTAAGCTAATTCACTTTCCGTTTCACCCGCAACCGCCCAGTGTTCCCCCTGGCTTTTGCACCTTCTCACTATGTTGCTGTCAACAGTGCAGTAAAGTAAAATCAAACACTTGTAAAAGGTAAACTACCGGGTAAAGAGGTAAGGTAAAAGATAAAGGTAGCCATGTCCGTTCCGGGTAAAGTAAGGGTAAAGGTATTATGCATTTGAAGGAAATTTGGATTCAGGCGTGAATTTCCAAGATCACCCAGCCCGATTTCACTTATTAATAACACTACTACTATTAATAAGGTGGATTTCAAATATCCGTGATAGTATCATGTGTCATCCAAATGTCAATCCCAACGTCATCCAACATTAATATTAGGTCATATCCTAATAAGTAGCGATGAGAGTAAATTAGGATAATGCTAGGTCATTGCATACAGGCCTAGTCCGGGAGCGGCACGGCCTACGGCCTACCTGCCGCTGCCCGACAAGACGAAAAGATAGATCATTCGGTGAAGTGAGAAGCTTAGATCCGCGCTCTCGTACGGGGCCAACGTAAGGCTTGGTCACTACTTTAGGTTTCATCCCACAACTTTATCCAATTTCATCCAAAGTCATCCAAATTTCATCCACATGTCATCCATGCTTTTAATTCAACAATTATATTATATTAACCATAGTATCCAAGGTTGGTATTAATATTCAAAGCTATCCCGTAAGTCTTAATTCCTGGCCGCCAGCAAATGGCCAATCACAATCATCGATGGACTATGATTGGACAAAATTACGTACACTTGGATCAAATACTTGTAAAACTTAATATTAATCTTTTCGGACATGTAATACAGTTTTTAAATTAGTTGCACTATTTAATTTAATTAAATGAACACTTTTTATTAATATATATCATTATTAAAGGTTCGGATGGTTTTGTCACCCAAATCAGGCCTACATTATTCAAGTGAATTACTGACCGGGAATTAAATTCACATAGGAAAATTTCAAATTTAGAAATTCGATGAGGAAATTGACCATGCGATACAAATAATGGGACCTGCATAATGTTATAAAGCTCGTCACGATCTTCAAAATGCATGTTTTCACAGCCTCATCGGATGAATGGGTGACGAGTTAAATTTATGGCACTCAGAAAGTACTGTAAATTTAGACCAAGCTGGCCGGGAATTACATGAATCACCTTCTGTTAGTATGCATGTTTCGTGGTAGTTTCGTACTAGTAAATCATAATGTATCCTAGGTACTTGGAACTGCATACAATTTTCAAGATAACAGGAATTGGATATAGGATTTACGAAACAAAAATGTATCGAGATTACTAGTACAGTACTCTGGTGTACTATGAATATTAATAGTATTTTGTTTTGTGTTTGTTTCGTAAATCGCGTACTTCACAGTCAGTATCACGATTACATTACGTAGTAATACTATCAATACTTGCTAGTATTACTAGTATTTATCTCATGTCAATCAAGTAATCTACGGTGGCTTATATTTCCCTTTATCTGGGTATTTACGAAACAAACTACGAAACACACCTACTACTAGTAGTACTAGAGTATCATGTGGTGAAATTATGCAAGTGCCAGACCAAGCTGAGCTTGAAACTTACTCCGAGTACAACGTTGCTACGGTGGAAGACCATGTACAGCCTGCCAACAATCCGGTACACCCAGTAGCAATCACAGGCACGCTTCGCTCATACTAAGCAGTTCGGTGTTGGCACGACTCGAGACAATCAACTAATCCAACTGCATCAACTTCGATGTTGGTGACCCCAGGGACACGTCACTTAGCTCCAATCGAATATAGTGTTAAATGCACTTCGCTACTTACAGCTACAGTGTAACTTCATAATCATGATGTTTGTACTGCCAAGACGTCGACCGCCATGTAAATGAGGCACTGCATGCCGCGCACCTCGAGTGGCGCCATAACTTAATAATATTCTTGTTGTGTTAAGAGGTCAAATATTGTTGTTGTCATAAGAGGTCCCAGTGCACGCGGAGGTGAAGTCCTTAGTCTTGAACAATGACTTTGTGAACAATGCCGCAAAGTATCTCTCCATCTAACGACTGTACTGCCTTGCGACTGCCGTTATTCTAACTAAACGAACGCAAGAGCAAAACAGTTAGTCTAACATGTGCAACACGTTGACTTTCCAGTAACTAGTTATTGTACGGAGTGTGAAGAGTCCGCCGGGATGCACAGCATCGGGTCCAGCATACAGTCATGTTGCTGGGTCTCGAAGGTCCGCGCAGTGTCAAGGACGACCGTCTGTCCTGGCAGGAGTTCCCGCACATTTCCTCGCGTCGCGGACTTGCGCAGCACCAGATCCGCCTGGCGCTGCACCGCTTTGGTCAGCGAGGACGGCGCCAACGTCAAGTTGGCGAGCCCGACCACGCGATTCGGGACCACTTGGCCATCTGAAGTGCTAGTCGAGCATTTCCATGAACGAAAACCAACGTACCGTCGCTGTTATGCTGGTTGTACCACCACTTCTATGCTGGTGGAGGAGGTTCGTGTAGCAGCGTCTGTGCTATTGTTGCCTATGGTGGGGCGTGTTGATATCTGTCCACAGTAAATTACGTAGTACTTACTAATAGTATGTATGTTTCGTGATTGTTTCGTAAATCACCATATATCTAATACAAGCAATCGGATACAAATTTCAAGATAGCAGGAATTAGATACAAGTGATTTACGAAACAAAAACGTTTCGTGATTGCTAGTAGTCTGGTGTATTTTGTTTCGTGTTTGTTTCGTAAATCGTGTATACTACGTTGTAATACTATCAATACGTGCTAGTATTACTAGTATTTATCCCATGTCAAATCAATGTAATCTACGGTCTAATAGTAGCTGCTTCCCGAACCAACCGATTGTAGGTCGTAGCGTGCACAGCTTCATTGTGTTTGGCCAGGAGCGCCATTTCTCGGCAGAGTGCATTCAAGTCTGGGGCAAAGAGAGCTAAGGTCGACGGAACTGCGACATCGTTTCCCGCCTTCTTCTTTCCATCGCACTCCATCACATGGGTCTTCAGCACAGCCACGATGCGTTGAAAAAAGAGGCGAAAGATCACATTCGATGGCCGGGCCACGTCAGCCACTCGCTTTTGAAACGTCTCGCGGGCGGCAGGACTCGGCCAGGGAGATTTCATGTACGAGCCTACTTCATGCACTACCTGCACCACCAAGTCGTCCATTTTCACACTTCCACACGATTCGTCCAGGAGAATCGCGAGTTTGGCGCACAGCGCCGCCGCCGCCTCGGCCGGATACGTCGCTCCGAAATGCCCGCACTCTTCCCGCACCAGCGCCACACAGCTCGCTTGCAACGCCGTCGCATCCACACGGTTGCGCCACCCACGGACGCGCCCCACGTCCATCGCAAACGTTTCTGGCCACAACTTGTCGGGCGATTCAATGTACGTTTCGACCAAGGCAATCAACCCAGATCGCACGATCGTGCGAACGTCCGTCCCGTGTTGCCTTTGGAGCCACGCAGTGGTCTGCGACAGCGTCACGCTCCCAGCCGCCACGCGCTGCTCAAATTTCTTGGCTTCGTGCTCGACGCCGTGGCGTTGCAGATACGGGGCGAGCAATGCCAGGTGCGCATTCAGGCTATCGCCGCGGATTTCGTCCGCCTTGTCGAAACAGAACCGGAAAAACGACGTCAGCTCCTTGTACCCGTCTGCTTTGCACGTCGGGGACGAGTCCAGCACCAAAGCGCGCCGCGCCGCCGTCGACTCGCTTCGCGCCGGCGCTTCGTTGGCGGCAATCACATGCAGCACTTGTTGCTGCAACGCCACCCACTCCGTCCACTCTGCATCTGCCAGAGCTTCCAATTGCGCGTCATTGAGAAAGTTCCGCGGAACTTTGCACACTCGACCGAGGGCATCGCGGAGCTCCACGAGGATTCCCGCAATCCATTGGGGGTCTTGCGTGACCTGCACTTGGTCCCAGAACGCATGGTGCATCGTGGCCTGTACCCGGCGTTCAAGTGACCCATTCTCACGGAAATCATCCACGGGGAGTTGGAACCGCGGGTTCAAAATCAGTTCGTGGGTCAAACTGTCGTTCGCAAATACCGACTTGGTGAATTCCAAGTTGGGTTTCTTGGCCGGCGAACGAGGCGTTGGAGGCGTCGATGGTGCATGGCCTGCTGCTGGCTTCCCCGACAGTTTTGCGGCCAATTCCTGCTCCAGGGCGTCCAATCGGTCCGTGGCGGCGGTGCTACCCAGCGCCTGCACCAACGCGCTACGAAGCTGCTTCAACTGGTCCTTCGTCTTGCTCATCGCGCTATCTGTGCCATCCGCCGTCGCTTGCGTGAGCACGGTGAACAGCTCGGCGTACACGTTCAACATGTCCGTCGTCAGCCGCTCGCCATCGCGCTTCTTCCATGCCGCGAACGTGGACGTGTACATCAAGCGACTCGACTCCCATCGGCGCCACGACGAGGCAAATGCCGCTAGCGAAGTCGACCACATAGTTGTCAAGTCCATGAGCGCGTGACAGACACGTTTGGCGGTGAAATGGAGCACCGGGTCGAAGCCCTGGTCCATCACGTCTTTGGGATGGTGCATGAGCATGCCAGCCATGAGGAGTATGCGAAACGACGTGGCGGGAAAGAGCACTTTGCCCACGGCATGTGCTTTCGCCGCGGTTTGCCGGTTCTGGAGCAGCATCATGCTCGTGTCCACGGTGGATCGACCGACGCTTGCCCATAGGTCCAAAATGGCCTGGGTGGAAGGACGAAGGGGACGCAAGGCAGCATGCACCTCGCGCACGTGGCGGCCGTGTCGGAACCAGCGTTGCAGCGACGTGGCCGCGTCCAAACGTCGAGTTTGGAGGATGCGATCCTTCTTCGATTCAACGTCGTTGGCATGCTTCTCCAACTTGGACACGTACGCTGACGTGAGCACCGCGCGCCGATAACGCGCCGCACGAACCGACGCGTCATAAATGCGACGTTTCTCCATCGTGCGATCAGCCAGTCCCTGCAACGCTGACAAGACGCGTTCGTTCCGCTGTTGGCATTGCGACGTGGTCTGCGCAAGCTTGTCCAAGCGCCGCTTCTCGGCGTCTTCTAAGCGCGTTTGCAGTCGGATCTGTTGCCCTTGGGATCGAGATTGAACATCCTCAAAGGTTGCCCGCGCGACTGCTTGGGCTTTCATGACACGGTCTCGGGCGGAGTGTCGGCGAAAGGCTACGTGCTGCTTTCGGTTTTCGCGGGCGCGAGAGATTCGCTCCCCCATGGCTTGAAGCTGTTCCAATGGACTAATCTCGGACGCTTTGAGTTGCGCCTGGCGAGCTTCCAGGCGCTGTTGGCAGGTCGACTTCATGGTTCGATCGAGAATGCGAATGGAACGGCGCGATCTGTCCTGTTTCTCTCAGAAATGTGTTGGTCGTTTTGACAATTTTAAAACTCACTACAAAATGTAAGCTAAACATGTTGAGTTTTATTTTATTTAGTAGCAGCCCTGTTCGGGCCTGTCTGGAATGTTCTTCCTCTTGAAAATTCACAGCCAATCAAATTGCGTATGAATTATCATTTGCCTTTGTCATTGGCTGTTTCGGCGCCAATCCTTTTCATGTATTCATCACCCAGACACAAATTACAACGTCGTTGTCGATGTAACACTGCACATTTGAACAACTTCCGTACGGAAATGATTGATAGATTTGAGTAATTTATGTGACATCGTCTAAGTTTTTAGCGCTAATAACGTTAACATTATTAGGGCATCCCCAATGGTGCGACGGTATAATCAGACTGTAGTTTGACGTTTACCGTCACTGTACTTTACTTTTGTGCAACCCCAACTGTAAAACGGTACAAAATCCGCATAATTGTCACTTCCGGATATGGAGGGTGGGCGCTCAACCATACGCTCTCAATCTCTTCATGCTCTGCTGTCTATGGGAAGGGACATTTGGAAGCTTCATAGATTGAGTCGACCTGTACTTCTGCTACAGTTGTTCTATCGTTATGCGCTTGGTTGTTTACAACAGACACGTGTCAGTACTGGTATGGAAATGTCCGTGCTCAAATACATGCGTTTTTGTCGGTGGAAATATGTTGCTTTGTGGTTTAGGATTGGATCATGAATTTTGCCGTCGGGGTGGTCACAAAACGGTAAAAATGGCCGATTTGCCGTCTCGCGGTAATAATATGCCGTTTCCGGTAGATATCGTCGCACCGTTGGGGTTGCCAAAACTGCATATTTGACCCCAAAAACGGTAAAACAGCGTTTACCGTCGCACGGACTTGTGAGCATCGCGAAATGGCATTCGAATCGATTTGATCAATTTTATTTATGGTTGTACAAACTATAATATACAATAATTCGTATATATACTGTACCTGGTATGTGTTCTGCACAATAGAGAGTTTTAGCAAGTCCGAAATTTCACCAGTTCACAGACTTGGTGCTGCCTTCGATTTTGTTGATGTCTGAATTGCGAAGTCAGATGAATTCCAGTTTAGCAAGTCTGGAATGTGCTTGATAACCATGTTGCATTCCATGCCATTCTTGAAAATGCAACCTCAGCAACGCCGATTCATCCACCGTTCCCCCGTGCCTCTCCGCCTGAAGCTCCGCCTACTGCGCCGTAGTGCCAACCGAGCTCACCTAACAATTCCTAATGTGAGCTTCACGTTGGACACTTTCTCCGATGCCGACTGTGTTCAGAAGTTTCGTTTCACGAAGACGACGCTACGATCGATGGCCAACTTTCTCCGAATCCCTGCTCGAGTCGTCACTGCCGAACGAACTGCGTGCTCTGCTGTCGAGGCTCTCTGCATACTGCTGCGTCGATTCGCCGTCCCCGACCGGTGGTCTGACCTCATGTCAATGTTCGGACGCTCTCGCAGTGGTCTGTGCAACATCTTCCTCCATGTGCTCGACCATATTCACAACGAGTTCGCCGACATCATTTTCTTGGACCGCGACCGCATCAGCGCCAAGTTGGCTGACTTTAGTCAAGCAATTTTTGACAAAGGCGGCGAGGTTGAAAACGTGTGGGCGTTCATTGACGGAACCGTTCGGGAGTGCTGCCGTCCGGGAGGTGATGAACGGCAGCGATGTGTTTTCAATGGCCACAAGCGTCGCCATGCTGTCAAGTACCAGACACTGGTAACTCCTGATGGCATTATTGCCCACGCCTTTGGTCCCATTGAGGGGCGACGCCATGACCTTACAATCCTACGGCAGTCCAACTTAGAAAGTGTCATTGGCATGGACGGTCGTTTTGGTGGATTTGTTGTTTATGGTGACCCTGCCTATGGTTATTCTGACCAACTGGCCTCCCCCTTTGGAGGAGCTCGTTTGACAGCGGCCCAACGAGAAGTCAACAAAAGCATGAGTCGAGTCCGCATTAGTGTGGAGTGGTCGTTTGGTCAGGTTGTACAATACTGGCCAATTGTTGACTACAAAAAGAAGATGCGCATTGGAAAAAGTCCGATATCCAAGATGTATAAAGTCGCTGTGCTTTTGACCAACTGCATTACGTGTGATCGAGGACGGAATACCAATAGTAATATGCAAAATACCATGTTCTAGTATTTTGCTTTGTCAGCTACAACCTGAATTAACTTTCCCATCTCTAACAAGAGACGTTCAAGTTGGTCGTTTCGCTTTGTGTTCTCGGCCATTTGAGCCAAACGGAGCTTCTGCTCCTCCTTTTCGAACTCCAGACGCTCCATTCTATTTATATGATCGTCAGAATGCTTTTTCTTCTCAAACTCCAGAAGATCTTGTGCCACCGCATCTGGGTCTTCTTTCTTGGTGGTCACCGAGCTCACGGAGCGTTGACGCTTGACAACCCGCTGCTCTGCCTCTAGGCACAATTGGGAGCCGGTAGATTCCAAAGAGTCACGCTTTTTCTGCTCCTTGTCCTTCTTGGACTTCTTGGCCTCATCGGTCGCCGCTCGTCGGTCAACTAGGTCTTGCAGTAGCTGGACTTGCTCAGTGACCTCCTCGTCGCTGCCGGTGCCCCACAGTCTTTGAGCCTTGTCCGTCGACTTGAACGCTTCTACCATGGACTCGTAATGGTCGCGCGCCGAACGGTACGGGATCTCGCATTCGAAGAGTGTCGACAGGCTCGACGCGATGGCCTTCCAGCGTGCGGTAAGCGTGCCATACTCGCCGTCGTAGGGTTCGACTCGGACGACCTCACGAAGC